AAGATTTCAAGTATAAAAGAGATCAAGTTTCAAGATCTCCTCAAGGGTGACTTAATGGGAGATAACTCAACTTCAAGAAAGTTTGAGAAAATCCTTGTATTCTTAAATTTTCTAAAGTTTACAAATTTCAATCTTATATTTCAAATTTTTATTTCAATATTGTAATATCAATTTATATATTTCAATAAAATTATTTCTTCATTTCAATATTTTTCTATTTTCCTTTATCACTAGATTCCCTAGGACTATTTTGTGTCAGAGCCATAACTGAGTGAGATGAGGTTGTAGTAAAATTTTAGGATAGATACTGTATCATAAGAGAACCTAGTCCAAACTTGGATGTCTGTTGAATAGTATTGGTCAGTCCGTGTTAAGCAGGTGTAGGTGACATGAACTGTCCGAATCATCCTAGTAGATCTGACTCATGTTGTGCATCGATAGTAGATACCAGTTAGATGCCGGACCCACCACCAAGGCAACTTGACTTGCTTGACTAAAAAATATTTTTAACAAAATTTTGACAGAGTTCCTCCTAAAATATGAACTAAAACGACCTGAACAATAACCAAGTTTCCTCAATTCAATACCTATAATATAAAACAGGATACGCCAGTCCCTCAAAATATAAACTATTCAAACAAAATGCTGGCCATCAATATTTACTTGCTTTACAACCAACAATCCTCAAATATACCACATACGTCAAATATGTAATGAGCCCATGATGAATCTTTCTGATTTAAAATACATATACCCTGAAAGAACAAATTCTTTTAATTTGATAAAGGATGTCAACCTATGAAGCATGGCACAATTTGGTGGCTTAACAAGCTCCAAAGCTGCTCAATTCGGTTGCTATCTGATAAAGAAAATGGTGAAAAGATGTATAAGCTTATAGCTCAGTGAGTGGATAATTTGCAAATAAACATATTTTTTCTTTTATGCATATATTCTGAAAATTCTAATGCTATTAAAACTTTGAGAAATTCTAAGATAGGGTAATACTTTTAAAACTAAATATGAATGTATTATAAAATTCTTTGTTCTTAATTCTGGATAAGCAACTATAAAGTATAATGACATAATTAACTTCATATCCATGAAAATCTATGAAATATTGTTGCTGCTCAATATTATAAGCCAAAAGCTTTATTCTGAAAACTGAATTAACTGAATTCTATAATCTGAAATCAGAAATATTGAAAAATCACATCAAAAAGGTACCCAAAATAACTATACTCATGTATCGGTTTGCACCGATAGACATGACAAAGCTATTCAATTCTGAAATTCTAGTCATATGCGCGCAGAGCTGAAATTCAGGTCATACACCATGGAAACACATTCACAATAGTGTAGAGCGGGTAAAATAATCATAACTGATTATACACTGTGGAAATATATTCACACCAGTGCAGACAAGGGTAAAATCACTTAAGTACTTTCTGGTGGTTTTTAAAAATAACTTTAGTTAATGCTGAAACATGTAATACGGATGGAACGTGCTATTGAAATGATTTAATTGAACTGAATTTAACTTTTAAAAAATATTTGATTATAAATCCACTTTATTCAAAAAATTATGCTATCAAATCAAATGTATAAAATAATAAATTTTCTAATCTAATATAAATTTAATAAATAATTAACTTCTGAAAAATAAGTTTTATATCCACTCACCAAGTTATGGACTAATCATGATTTCAATCTTCTCGTCATCTCCTGAAATATGATACAAGGTAACCAATTTAACAACCACTCTACCAAGTATCCTTAACTTTTAACTACGAAATACTCGACTTCTCGACACTTGGATATGATCTTTAATTTCCTTCACAATTGGAACTAATTCTACCTTCTAGTCCTTTCATTAAAATCTAATTCATTAAAATAATCTTCACTCCAAACATAAAAATAATTCCTTCTTCCAAACTAGTAAAACTAATAATTATAATTTAACCAATTTAATTAGCCATCTTGCTCCATAAATTCATGCCTTCAAATGAGTATTTCATCTCTACAATTATTCGTGTTAACTATACTCATTCAAAGTCCAAAATTGGTATTTCACACCTTAATGTAAGTAGCCTTCCCAATTTAAAAATATTAGCTTGCAAACATATTCCTTCCATCAATCTGAAAATTAAATCAATAAATCACAACCCTAAAAAAATTAAGCATAAAACGTACCAAGAAATTTGTCAAATTGAAGATGAAGTTGGAATATCCAACCCCACCTCTTTTCCTTTCTTTTTCCTTTTCCTTTTTCCTTTCTTTCTTTTCTACTTTCTCTCTTTACTTTCTCTTTTCTTTCTTTCGTCTCAATTTTTCCAAATTCTCTACCCCGTTTCCAGATTTTTGTAGGTATATATCAATTGAAAATTGCTAAAATAGTTGAGCATTTGACACTTGTAATCCACCAATGCTCTCATTTGCATTTAAGTCCTCCACTTCCATATAACATCACATTAAATCCTTAACTTCCATTGGATATAAAATCTAACCACTTTACTTGCAATAATATATAAGAAAATCTCCAAAAATTAATTTTTATCCATCTTAAACCTTAAAATATTGACAATTTATAAAATAAACCGCAATAAAATAATTTGGTCAATTAAGTCCCAGTAAAATTATTTATTTCATTTAAGTCCCTATTTGACTTTGAAAATTCAACTCGACTTTAACTAAAAATGAGGGGTGTGACAATCTTACCCCCTTCAAAAAATTTCGTCCTCGAAATTCTATCAACTAGAATTCGAACATATAAAGGTATAGAGCACACATAACGAATAAGTTTTCTAGCAACCTGTAACTAGACATAACTTCATTCTTTCATATCTAGGAATCTTATATAGCAAAGCTCTCTTTAACTTCACTAGCAATCTTAAAACGTAAATTAAATCTGATATCTACTTACTAAGCCTTAGAAATAGACCATTCATTATTAAATGTCAGATAACCTCATTGTAAACTTCATATAAACGGAAATCTTATCTGAATATAATTTAATAATTCTATCTCATGAACTAACTATATCATTTGAAAAGAATTCTTGTAACCTTTATCGATCTATCAACAATGATTCAAATACCCTTTTGTCTCCATTCTGTATATTTGGAACCCCAAATCGAAAAATGTTTGTGGGTAGCTACTCCAATTCTAAATTAATATTATCTGCAAAAATTTCAATTATTCATTGTTTTCTAAAATTCTAGTCATCCCCAACAACAATTGAGATAGCTCAATATGATGTTCCTTTTCTTTTAATTCTATATCAACCAATGATAATATATACACAACTTCAATTTCGACCCTTTCAAATTGACATATACCTTAAACTATGATGATATATAAGTATCGATGTTTCTCGCAAGAATATAACACCACAATTTCTAACTCCAACCCCAATATAACCAACAATAAAATGTGCCTTAATCATACATCTTTAACAATCTATAGTAATATTCATAATTCATCATTTATTTCATCATACTTTCTAAACCTTAATATAATTCATTATCATAAATCAGGCTCTCATCAACTTTAGATACGAGAGTACATATTTCATCATAATGTAATCTGATAGCAAAGCTTTTGGCATTTCTAAACCCACACAATTTTGGTGCTCTTTCTTTCTATGAAAATATAATAATAACATTTAATCCGTGATAATTCTTTACTCTTATTCCATAAAGCGGCCATTGACCTATTATCAATGCATAAGCCTTCTTGTATATTGCACAAAGACCTTTAATTAATATTATAACTTAAAGATACCATTCCACAATTTAATAAAATTTACATTTGATGATCATCTTAGACTTTAAACTATCCAACACATCGTCCATATGTTCCACAACCTATAGATCTTGATAAGAATAGAATACTTTATTCGAGAGACCTAAAAATACAATTGAAAATCTCCCAAACTTTACATTACTAAAAATTCATTAAATTCACCCTAACTTATAAATTCAGCTCGAAGCTTCTAGATTGTATATAATATAATATAATAATCCACGAATGGCCTTGACAAAGTTAATTAATAACCCAAATATCTCATCACATTATTTGGCTATAGGACGACCATAATATTCTTCACTTGCTATACACCATATCATGTAACCTTATCGTTTATGATCACATTGTATAACTTCAAACATTTGATCATACCTATTTCCTTAATCGGCATTCCATATGGTTTCATTATTTCTGTCGTCAACAAGATTTCTTACTATATTTCCACATCTTGATATTCGAATACATGCATTTTCTTCCATATACTAAATATGATTACAAATTCTCACGATAATTCGCATAATACCACAAACTTTTAGATTTACAAAGCAATCAAGATTTCACCTTTTATGTCACCAATTATACATATATCAACATTAGACAATACTTATCATCCAAGACATCTAAAGGACATTCCTTCTAATAATCACAAAAGAAACTCATAACCCAATAAATCTCCTTACTAAGAAAAATTATACTCTTCACTTTAACTACCTATTGGATATATAGCACAATTATTAATATATTAGAGAAAATATAGTATGGCGCCAACGTGACAACTCTAACAATTCTCATTACCAACGGATAATTCTCAATAATATCCTCATATTTATTATGCCAAAATCAATAAAGATCCTTCTAGTTTCTCAGCTGACATATCTTCGTTAACAAGGGCAATATGAGTTTCAAATACCACAAGCCTGTGAGTTCTACCACCATGCCACGGCTAATAATCTCAATGACATACTATTCCGAGAAAGAAACTCATGAATTACTCGAGCTTAACAATCACTGAACCATGCTCTGATACCAATTGACACGAACCGTCCGGATCATCCTATTAGATCCAACACGTGTCGTGCGTCGATGGTAGTTACTAGCTAGACGTCGGGCCCACCACCAAGGCAACTTGACTTGCTTGACTGAAAAATATTTTTAACAAAATTTTGACAGAGTTCCCCCTATGAACCAAAGCCAACTGGACAATAACTAAGTTTCCTCAATTCAATACCTATAATATACAATAGGATACGTCAGTCCCTCAAAATACAAACTATTCAAATGAAATGCTGGCCATCAATATTTACTTGCTTTACAACCAACAATCCTCAAATATACCAAATACGTAAAATATGTAATGAGCCCATGATGAATTTTTCTGATTTAAGATACATATACCCCGAAAGAACACATTCTTTATAATCTGATAAAGGATGTCAATCTATGAAGCATGGCACAATTTGGTGGTTTAACAAGCTCCAAAGCTGCACAATTCGGCTGCTATCTATAAAGAAAATGGTGAAAAGATGTATAAGCTTATAACTCAGTGAGTGGATAATTTGCAAATAAACATATTTTTTCTTTTATGCATATATTCTGAAAATTCTAACTCTATTAAAACTTTGAGAAATTCTAAGATCTGGTAATACTTTCAAAACTAAATATGAATGTATTATAAAATTCTTTGTTCTTAATTCTGGATAAGCAACTGTAAAGTATAATGACATAATTAACTTCATATCCATGAAAATCTATGAAATATTGTTGCTGCTCAATACTATAAGCTAAAAGCTTTATTCTAAAAACTGAATTAACTGAATTCTATAATTTGAAATCTGATAAGCTATAGAAATACTGAAAAATCACACCAAAAAGGTACCCAGAATAACTATACTCATGTATCTGTTTGCATCGATAGACATGACAAAGCTATTTAATTCTGTAACTCTGAAATTCTAGTCATACGCACGCAGAGCTGAAATTCAGGTCATACACTATGGAAACACATTCACAATAGTGTAGAGCGGGTAAAATAACCATAACTGGTCATACATTGTGGAAAAACATTCACACCAGTGCAGACAAGGGTAAAATCACCTGAGTACTTTCTGGTGGTTTTTAAAAATAACTTTAGTTATACTGAAACATGTAATACGGATGGAACGTGCTATTGAAATGATTTAATTGAATTGAATTTAACTTTTGAAAAATATCTGATTATAAATTTTCTTTATTCAAAAAATCATGCTGTTAAATCAACTATATGAAATAATAAATTTTCTAATCTAACATAAATTTAATAAATAATCAACTTCTAAAAAATAAGTTTTATATCCACTCACCAAGTTATGGATTAATCATGATTTCAATCTTCTCGTCATTTCCTGAAATATGATACAAAATAACCAATTTAACAACCACTCTACCAATTATCCTTAACTTTTAACTACGAAATACTCGACTTCTCGACACTTTGATATATTCTTTAATTTCCTTCACAATTGTAACTAATTCTACCTTCTAGTCCTTTCATTAAAATCTAATTCATTAAAATAATCTTCACTTCAAACATAAAAATAATTCCTTCTTCCAAACTAGTAAAACTAATAATTATAATTTAACCAATTTAATTTTCCATCTTGCTCCATGAATTCATGCCTTCAAATGAGTATTTCATCTCTACAATTATTCATTTAACTATACTTATTCAAAAACCCAAATAAAAATTCTAGGTTTTGTCCAAAATTGGTATTTCACACCTTAATGTAAGTAGCCTTCCCAATTTAAAAATATTGGCTTGCAAACATATTCCTTCCATCAATCTAAAAATTAAACCAATAAATCACAACCCTAAAAAAATTAAGCATAAAACATACCAAGAAATTTTGTCAAATTGAAGATGAAGTTGGAATATCCAACCCTACCTCTTTTCCTTTCCTTTTCCTTTTACTTTTTCCTTTCTTTCTTTTCTTCTTTCTCTCTTTCCTTTCTGTTTTCTTTCTTTCTTCTCGATATTTCCAACTTCTCTGCCCCGTTTCCAGATTTTTGTAGGTATATATCAATTGAAAATTGCTAAAATAGTTGAGCATTTGACACTTGTAATCCACCAATGCCCTCATTTGCATTTAAGTCCTCCACTTCCATATAACATCACATTAAATCCTTAATTTCCATTGGATATAAAATCTAACCACTTTTTTTTTCAATAGTATATAAGTAAATCTCCAAAAATTAATTTTTATCCATCTTAAACCTTAAAATATTGACAATTTATAAAACAAACCCCCAATAAAATAATTTGGTCAATTAAGTCGCAATAAAATTATTTATTTCATTTAAATCCCTATTTGACTTTGAAAATTCAACTCTTGACTTTAACTAAAAATGAGGGGTGTGACAGTAAGCGTGCGATAAGTGTATTTATTATAGTTATCTGGGTCGTTAAACTAGAGCAATTATTGTTATTTTAAGCAAATTGAAGCTTAATTTTGTATATATTTTGTTTATTAGGTACATCCTGATGAAAAATGATAAAAGTAGACCAAAAGAGCAAAAAATTGGCAAAAAGGGACTGAATCCAAAGTTCAAGGACTAATTGCAAAGTGTCAATAGTTTATTCAAACCCCATATTGATGATTGGAGAAGGTATGAAGTAAGTGGTGCGCGCACAATTAACTATATGGCGCTCAAGCATGTGCCAAATTTTCCATCATGGGCCAGTTTCCTTATTTTGATAAAACTCTACATGGAAACAATACATTGACATCCTATATATACTTAAACACGCCCAAAACGCAAAAAAATCTCCCTTTTGACCTAAAAATCTTATATTCTACATATTTTGGAGGCAAAGAACAAGGCCAAGAGTTAAGATAAAGACGGATTATACAAGTTTATTGAAGAATATTTATCCTTTTTTAAGATTCAAGCTAAGAAATTGGATTTTGCCACTTTCTTCATTATTTCTTCTTTCCGGGTGATCGTTTTCTAATTTTTTTGTATAACTTAATCATTAGGATACTACGCTAGTTTTTTCTATTTTATTAGATGAATGATAAACCCTATTTTGATTTAATACTATTAATTTAGTTATTTCTTAATAGATTTTGCATACCCATTGCATTATTTAATTGATGGGCCACCAATTGAATAATTAATTGCTCGTTGTAGTATTGGGAGACTCACAAGAAGTTTAGAACACGAAAAAATTAACATATGTAGATAGAATTGGGAATAATCTTTATCACATATGCAATCTATTAACTTATAATTTAATGCATTTTGATCATATGAATTTGGACTAGGAATATGATCGAATCGTGATTAGAATAGACTTAAGTTGTCTTGAAAAAGAGAATTAAATACACTAGTGTTATCGATTATCATGAAAACATGAAATTAAATATATTACGAATCAAGAATTAAAATAAATGGCAATAAGGGGATTCAAAATCCAACATAATCGTTCACATATTTGACAAAACATTTTTTATTGCTTCGTTAATTTAAAATTAGTTTAAATAACAACAAAATCACATCTTTTGTGTCACGAATATTGAATTTAGTAGTAACTATTGAACTAGAATTAAACATTATTCCTTGTGGGACGATAACTCACAATTTACTTTATTATTACTTATCAACAATCCCGTACACTTACGGATTTCAAACGGAACAAGTTTTTATCGCTGTTGTCGGGAAATAACAAATTTAATTTTAGTTTAAATAGTTTATATTAGATTCGATTTTTTTTTTATTTTGTTGATTTTGGCTACCCACCCTGATTTTTCTTATTTAGTATTCTTTTCAGGTGCCATTCAGCAGTACGTTTAGGATTTTGGCATTGCCATAGTAAAAGGATTCTTGCAATAAATAATCTCGACATGAACTATAAGGAAGAAGACATCTATTGTGAACTCTACTATGGGGTGCATTATACTGGCTACTGCTTGAATACATGCACTGATCCCTACAAGCGCAAGCTCCTATGATTTAAACAATATTTAAGATGTCGAAGACTAGCAATTGACACATCTTTTGAATGCTATATGCCTGTGGATGAGTGTATCCATTCTAACACTCTTGTGGAATTTGGTCCTTCCATGTTGAATGAGGAGATATTTGCAAGCTGAGTCAGATGAAAATAAAATGCGTGTGGGGATGGCGTATTCTGGTATGAATTTGAAAAGTGGGGATATAATCCACTCGAAAAATTTGAAAGAAAAGAGTTTATATTGCCAATAGATGTAGATTGTGAACCAGCCATTCAATTTGAGGAGACATCAATTATAGAAGACGAGAACGAAGACGATCAAAGTTCAATTACAAATAAACAAAACGAAGGGGAGGTAATTAATGAAGAAGACGTTAACCTACATCCTATCGACTTTATTGATTGCCCTATCATTGAATTTGAAATTAAACTCGAAGAAGAAGAAAAGGTTGACATAGTTGAATTTGAATCGAATGAGATAGGCAAGTCATATAACTTGGAATGGGCAATGCTAAAATTTGTAGAAGCAACGAAGAGTGGAGCAAAATCAAAAGAGGCAAACTAAGCATGGCATCAAAAGTTTTCTTCAAAATTCCATGATGCCGAAACAATAAAGTCAAGCTAAAGACTTTAAACAAAGCGCTTATTGGAAGACAACTTAATCTTTCTTTCCTTTCATTTATTCTATTTTTTTAGATTTAGAATAGTTTAAGATAATATATTGTAGTTTTTATTCAATTTTAGGGACTCATTATCCACACCCTGTTTCCCCTTAGATCTTTTAGACATTTTTTGGTTTGCTAGATATTTGAGCTCAGTAACACTTGTTTTGGGTTTTCTAGCCTTAATGCATTGTCTGATCGCTTTGTGCAGGAATGTACATCGTGGAATACTTAGACTACTATTGACTAAGGAAGCAATAGGAAAGCTAACCATTGGATTACACGTCATAGTAGGGGAGTATTTTTTTTCCTTGTCTTTTCCACCCCCATTATATACGGATTTAGAATTTAAGACATTGAGGACAATGTCTATATCAAGTTTGGGGATGGGCATTTCATTGAGTCTTTTATTTTAAATCGTTACATGCTTGTCTAAAAAAAATCTACTTTTCAATTTTATTACTTCTTTTATATGTTGTTGCATGTCTGTGTGGGTCGGATAATTTGCTAACAATGAAGAATATATTGTAGCATAGAGTTGGACTATAAATTATGAATAAATTATATGTTACATTAATTTATGTTTATTCATTCGAAAATAGATATTTATGAGCACTAGATTTATGTTTCGCATCATGGAGAAAATTCTAATTCATAAGGGAGACTAGGTGGAAGTTAAATGACCTTAGAAGCTTAACCCAAACATCCATTATGTTATACATCCTTAAACCAATTTTACGATGTTTTGGGGGTGATTGAGTTGTTGTGGGGAAACATAGAGATAAATGTGCATTCCATGTATGCTAAGTTTTGTGTAGATTGTCGGACGCTAATAAGATGAAATTATGTTAAGATCTTAAGTTGGAGGTCAATTTTTTTGAGAATGGGTGTTTAATTGTCATGCCCCAAATTAACATAGGTAACCATACATAACCCTACATTAACCTATGTGTGAATGAAATTGATGACTCAACCTAGACATAGAATTTCACATATGCATTTTTTCCACTTGATAAAATGAAACAAGCAGCTTCACAATTAAGTCCGTGTTTGTTAACTCTGAATCACCTGTAACGATCATATAGTATATCGAAATCAAAGATCATATAACCATAATCCAGCACATATGTTCTAAGATTATAAACATATCTACAGGCCATTTCAAAAGCTATGCAATGTAGGATCCCCAAAATATAACATAATAGATTGTAAGCTCAAAACAATAGCCCACAAAATAATCCTACAAGTCGTCATCCATGTACATCAAACTCTGAAATCCCTTAAGAGCTCTACAGCTAGCCATGATCTCTACCTAGTTCCATGCTCACCTGCAATGCAAAAACTACATAAGCCAATACTTAGTAAGCAATAATTATGCATGTCATGAGTATGAGTA